AAAAAAAAAATTAGCCGGGCGTGGTAGCGCACGCCTGTAGTTCCAGCTACTTGGAAGGCCGAGGTGGAAGGATTGCTGGAGCCCAGTAGCTCCCGGCCACTACACTCCAGTCTGGGTGACAGAGTGAGACTCCAACTCAAAAAAAAAAAAAAAAAAATGATGTGGGGTATAATTCAAGATTAGGTAGATAAGTTGTCATCATACAGGTAAAGTTTAGGTCTCCCTTTGGTCCCCGCTTCATCTGGTTTAAGATGAGGTACCCCTATTGATGTTATGTGCCCTGTACCCCTTCCCTCCCTGGCAGTATCCCACTATTGCCAAATCCTTTCTTATAGTGTTATGATAAATGTTCAGGGTCCACTTATAAGTGAGAACATGTGGTACTCAGTTCTTTGTTTCTGTGACAGATCACTGAGTATGATAGACTCTAAATCCATCCAAGTTTCTGCAAAGTCCATAATTTTGTCCTTCTTTATGGCTACATAATATTCTATCATGTATATGTGTCATATTTTTTTATCCAGTCCATTTTCAATGGGCAGCACTATTGGTTCCATGTTTTTGCTATAGTGAATAATGCTGCAATAAACATGTGCGTGCAGGTATCTTTTTTTATAGAATGATTTGAGTTCCTCCAGGTACATTTCCAGAAGGGGGATTGATGGGTCGTATGGAAGGTCAATTTTTAGATCTTTTAGAAATCGCTACACTGTTTTCTATAGAGGTTGTATTAGTTTATGCTCCCACCACCAATATAGAAGTGTTCCCTTTTCCCTGAATCCTCTCTAGCATCTGCTGTTTTTTGAGTTATTGATGATGGCCATCGGGAAGTAACTGTGCTGATTTTCTTTAGCTGCTTGAAGTTCCTTAATGCTCATAGCAATCCTTCATGGTAGGTCCACAGCATTATTACACACATTTTGAAGACAAAGAAAACGGGCTTTATAAAGGATATGTTGGTTTGACTGCCGGGTTCTTGAACAGCGCAAACTCACTGTCTCAGCTGCTACCAACTACTTGTCCTTCAGTCCCCCTCAGAAGGGACTTCCCTACACCAAGTCAAGGAAGCCTTCACCCCACCCATCCTGTTAACTCACAAGCACATCACACCCGGTTCTTCCTTCTTGCTTTTAAGAATCACTACCCGTCGGGCTCGGTGGCTCAGCCTATAATCCCGCACCTTTGGGATTGCCTGAGCCCGCGGGTTCGAGACCTGCCTGGCAGCGAGACCTCATCTCTACAATAAATCAAAAAATCAGCTGGGCGTGGTAGTGCATGCCTGTAATCCCGGCTACTGGGAAGGCTGAGGTGGAAGGATCGCCAGAGCCCAGCAGGTCGAGGCTGTGGTGGCCGGGAGCGGCCACTGCACTCCAGTCCAGGCGACACAGTGAGACTCCAACCCAAAAAAAAAAAAAAGAATCACTACCCAGTCAGGCATGGCAGCTCAAGCCTGTAATCCCAGCACTTTGGGAGGCCAAGGCAAGAGGATGTCTGAGCTCAGGGGTTTGAGACCAGTCTGGGCAACTTGAGACCGTGCCTCTACAATAAATCAAAAAAAAAGCCGGGCGCGGTAGAGCGCACCTATGTTTCCAGCTACTTGGAAAGCTGAGATGGAAGGATAGACTGAGGTGGAAGGATCACCTGACCCCAGCAGGTCGAGGTTGCGGTGGCTATGAGCGTACCACTGCACTCCAGCCTGGGCAAAAGAGTGAGATTCCAACTCAAAAAAAAAAAGGAATCACTACCTAAAACTATCTTGATTTTCCTGTATTGCCTGACTCTTACCCATCAATACGTAAGCACCAAGAGTGCAAATTTTTTGTCTTCTTCACCAACATAATTTCAGCATCTAGAAAGGGGCCTGCAACACAGATGGATGAATAAACACTAACCTGTTCTCTCTATACCTTTTTTTTTTTTTTTGAGTAAAGGTCTCACTCTGTCACCTAGACACATACAGTGGTGTGATCACAGCTCACCACAGCCTCGACCTCCTAGGCTCAGGCAATCCTTCTGCCACAGCCTCCCAAGTAGCTGAGACTACAGATGCATGCCGCCATGCCTGAATAATTTTTATTTTCTGTAGAGATGAGGTCTCACTATGTTGCCCACGCTGGTCTTGAACTTCTGGGCTCAAGCAATCCTCCCACCTCAGTCTCCCAAAGTGCTGGGATTACAGGTATGAGCCACTGTGCCTGGTCTTCCCACAGTATCTTGAACAAGTGATGCATCCTCTGTGCTTTGTGCCTTTACACATGCAGTCCCCTGGGAAGTAAGCTGCCCCTTGACCCCCTTCTACATCCCCTGCCTCTTCCTGCCTAGGAAACTTAACTCAGTTAGTTCAAGATGCAGTTCGAACACTGACCTTCTCTGGCAAGTCATTCCTGATACCCCTCAGGCCCTGAATCTGGAGGAGCCCCCACTATACACTCTGCCAGACTCTATCCTAGAGGCCAATGCATCCTGCAGTTCTGAGGTCTGTCCAGTGGACTGTGCTCTAGTGGGAGGAGCCGCATCTCTGATTTGTAAATTGCTAACTCTAAACAGGAGGCTCTGAATTAATAAAGGGCAAATATATGAATCAACTTGGCAGATCATCTTATATGGTTCCTAATCCTTAATTTGATGCTTTTTTGTTCTGATTTGAACTCCAGCACACTCAAAATCTGACCATTTCAAAAATATCATGCAGATGACAGCATGATAAAATATCACCTGTATAACTTGAAAAATGAGCCCTGGTTAGACAAGGTGGCTCACTCCTGTAATTCCAGGACTTTGGGAGGCAGAGGCAAGAGGACTGCCTGAGCCCAGGGGTTAGAGACCAGTCTAGGCAACTTGGCGAGAGCTTGCCTCTATAATAATAAAAAAATTAGCTGGGTGTGGTGGTACATGCCTGTAGTTCCACCTACTTGGAAGGCTAAGGCAGAAGGAATGCCCGAGTCCAGCAAGTCAAGGCTGTGGAAGTGTGGGCATGCCACTGCACTTCAGCCTGGGCGATAAAGTGAGACTCTAACTCAAAAAAATAAATAAATAAGTAAGCCCTTTTCATTTTCTCTCCCCCAGTTCCTTGTCATATGACTCAGAATTAAGTGATCAATCTCTCAGTATCACAGATAAATAATCACAAAAAATACCGAATTAAAACGTCACTCTTGGTCATTCATGCAATAGACCTGACACCTGAACATCTGTAACATCTGAACACAGTCACAGTGTATGACTGATATGAACAAGGTATATTTTCTCAGTACCTAATTGCCATAAACTGTAGCAGCTATTATTAAATAACCACAACGTGGACTTAATTTATAGCTCTGAATTAATCTTTAGTTCTAAAAATAATTATTTCATTTTTTAAGTCTCATAAAGCATTTTGGGTGATTTTTTTTGGAGTTGGAGTCTCACTCTGTCATCCAGGCTGGAGTGCAGTGGCACACTCACAGCCACCATAGCCTCAACCTGCTGGGCTCAGGCGAGCCTTTTATCTCAGTCTTCCAAGTAGCTGGAACCACAGGCGTGCACCACCACACCCAGCTAATTTTTTTATTTATTGTAGAGACGAAGTCTTGCCAAGTTGCCCAGGCTGGTCTCAAACCCCTGGGCTCAAGCAATTACTTTCACCTCTGCCTCCCAAAGTGCTGGAATTACAGGTGTGAGCCACCATGCCCAGCTAGCTGAATTTATTTTTATTTTTTTATTTTATTTTTTTGAGTTGGAGTCTCACTCTGTCACCCAGACTGGAGTGC